GTAACAACATTCTTCACAGTATTTTCTACAATTGACTCCAGGTCTTTTTTAGTTACAAGATCATTTTTCAATCGCCGAATTTCTTCCATAACTGACTGTAGCTCTTTACTAGGTTTTCCTGGTGAGCTGACACCAGGAGTGACTGGATAGCTTTCAGATTTACTACTAGTTCTTGTAGGTGGCATTTTTACAAGTTTTCAGTCTCCAGATTTAAACATAAACACTTATACAGTAAACTGGTAAAGCACGAAATAACACACTGAGTTAAATCTACTCACGAACACCTGTAGTACTGAAGAACTGTAGAGGCCTCGATAGCGAATGCAAGCTCTCTGCAAACTCTCTGGATTTTTACCACAGAAATGCAAAAAATAGCACCAGAGTCCGACAAGCAGTGGTTATACAACAATCACATGTTAATTTTTCCACTTCTGACCAACTTATAGGCTTTAGAGCACGGACCCCGTGTTCAAGCGGCCACCTTCACTGACGCCATTTTTAAACTTTTTCACAGTTTTTAACCTTGTCTGGAATCCTTAGATATCTCAAAGTTTAATCTTGGTTCTGTTGAGTTTGAGATATTAAGGTTTGACTGTATTGGTATGCATACTTCATAGAAACTATAAGATTGTCAGTAACTTTGTGGACAGCATTTCTGGTACTCTTGATTTTCAATGACAGACTTTGTAAAGACAGATAGAGAAACATTCACTTTGTATGCAAGACATCATTTTGATCATTTCCATATCAATATACAAATACTACTTTTGACTGACTTTTTTCAATTCAAATATAAAGCAATTTTGTCTTCAATCTTTAAACCTGGATTTTACTTGCATCGTTATTGACTATTGACAATAAATTGGCAAATTTGAATACACATATTATGAAGCTATGTCTGTATAATGGAAAAATTTTAACCATTTTTTTTTTCTTCAGTCCTAAGCCCCATCCTTGAAAGTGAACAAAAAAAAAGAATTTTCCTGAAATTACTGAAAGCTCTTTTGACTACAATTCTTGGTGTACCGTACGGAGATATCCAAGACCCTCAGATTTCAATTTCTAAGGAAAAGGTTTTACAACCACAGATATGATGGAAAATGATTTCCCTTGTGTAACAAAAGCTTTTAGGGATAAGAATACAAGAAAATCCTGATAGCAACATTAAAATCTCAACCAAATATCAAAATTGTAGAATAAGTTAATTTGGTGTCTGTTCACAGATTTAATATTGGTTAAATTTTAAGTCCTTGTCAAATGAAGGTCAGGACTGTTTACCAATTGAAAGATGATTGTCATTTTGTTTGAGGTCAAGGAAGAAGTTTACCATTTGTTTGAGGATAAGGAAGATGTTTGTCATTTTGTTTGATGTTAAGGAAGATGTTTGCCATTTGTTGAGGATAAGGAAGATGTTTGCCATTGTTTGAGGATAAGGAAGATGTTTGTCATTTGTTTGAGGATAAGGAAGATGTTTGTCATTTGTATGAGGATAAGGAAGATGTTTGCCATTTGTTGAGGATAAGGAAGATGTTTGTCATTTGTTTGAGGATAAGGAAGATGTTTGTCATTTGTTTAAGGATAAGGAAGATGTTTGCTATTTGTTTGAGGATAAGGAAGATGTTTGCTATTTGTTTGAGGATAAGGAAGATGTTTGTCATTTGTTTGAGGATAGGGAAGATGTTTGCCATTGTTTGAGGATAAGGAAGATGTTTGTCATTTGTATGAGGATAAGGAAGATGTTTGTCATTTGTTTGAGGATAAGGAAGATGTTTGTCATTTGTTTGAGGATAAGGAAGATGTTTGCTATTTGTTTGAGGATAAGGAAGATGTTTGCCATTTGTTGAGGATAAGGAAGATGTTTGCCATTGTTTGAGGATAAGGAAGATGTTTGTCATTTGTTTGAGGATAAGGAAGATGTTTGTCATTTGTTTAAGGATAAGGAAGATGTTTGTCATTTGTATGAGGATAAGGAAGATGTTTGCCATTTGTTGAGGATAAGGAAGATGTTTGTCATTTGTTTGAGGATAAGGAAGATGTTTGTCATTTGTTTGAGGATAACGAAGATGTTTGCCATTTGTTTGAGGATAAGGAAGATGTTTGCTATTTGTTTGAGGATAAGGAAGTTGTTTGTCATTTGTATGAGGATAAGGAAGATGTTTGTCATTTGTTTGAGGATAAGGAAGATGTTTGTCATTTGTATGAGGATAAGGAAGATGTTTGTCATTTGTATGAGGATAAGGAAGATGTTTGTCATTTGTTTGAGGATAAGGAAGATGTTTGTCATTTGTTTGAGGATAAGGAAGATGTTTGTCATTTGTTTGAGGATAAGGAAGATGTTTGTCATTTGTATGAGGATAAGGAAGATGTTTGCTATTTGTTTGAGGATAAAGGAAGATATAACTTTTCACAAAAGCATTGTCTATGCCTAACATGGGCATATATATACAAAATGTCAAATTGTCATTGGGCAGATTAGTTTATTTGTATTTCAGAATTTAACCACCTTAGTTTCAGTTCTGAGAGAGAGAGAGAGAGAGAGTTTATGCTACATATTTTGTTACAGTAGCAATTCTTTAGCTCATGTTCAACCATTGCCTTCCCATGGTAAGAAAAAGAGATCTGAATTATTACTAAACTAAATGCTTTATCTCTCAGTGTGTGAAGTCTGTAAACAAAATAAATTGCACACTGTAGTACATTGAATTGATCAGAAGTGGGAACTTGACAACTTTTTTTCCAAATATGTTCAATAGTTTTCACTGGAATTGAATAATTAATGTACCTGCACTTCAAACAAGCTTACTGCATTTGAAAGAAAATAAATCTATAAGAAAGAACATGCTTACCTTAGTGTAATCTGTCTAGAGTTTTCATTTCACAAAGGATGTATTCACAATTTCAAAGGAATTTACCTATAGGAGATATCAATTTCCCGGAATAAGTCACATTTAATAATCAATGTTCAGAAGTGTTTTCTATCTTGTCTATTGTACCAGTATATATGTCTAAATTTTTCCAGTTTATATTTTTAACGTAAATGTTGGTTTCACGAAAAACCTGAAAAAAGAAGGTAAACCTGTTTTTGACAACCTGGTTCACATTTATACCAGCTATTTTCATAGCCAGAATAGCTCTGATTGGTAATTAACAGCTGAGTATGAACACCACGGATACCTTTTTTTCAGACTCTTGGTTAGAATCAATCTGGTGCCACACTTTAATAATTTTAAATTCTCGCCTTTTCAAAGACTATTTTTATTTTTTTTTTTTAAGGGGGTTCAAAGATTATTTTTATTTTTTTATATAGGGGCTTGTGTATTTTCCTTTTAATTTTCTATCTTTTATGCACATTCATCCTTGATGTAAAAGACACTTAAGAGAAAGGAAATCGTAAATTCCATTGTAATTTTAAACACAGTCAACTGGAACTGTACCTCAAGATAGGTATAATATATAATATAATATATATTTAGAAAAGCATACATGTACTGATTCAATGTTCTAAATTCAGATCTCAAGTTTTCAAACAGTAAGACTACATATCAGTATCTGCACTCCCTTGGATTTCATTTATATAATTGGTAAAATACTTATGAATGGCATGTTTTTATTATATCCACGTAAATTTGTTGTAAAGTAAACATACATTAAGGAAAAAAAAGCTTTCTACAATACCATTATGTACAATGAAATGCAAAGAAAAAATATATCAAATAACATTTCAAGATAACAAACTCAAAATGTGTTGACAATGGCATTCTACATAATTAATGTCTATGGAAAGGTTGGTCCTATTCTCTACATACTGAAATAAAATAATTTATGAGATGTAGACCAGAACCGAAATCGACAAGCTTTTTGTAAAGACTAAAACCAATCCTGGTTCTCTAGGTCGGTGTCCCATTTATATTGAAGTGTTCTAGAGATGTAAAAGTCTAGATAAAAGATTAACATTGTGATGTTTATCATATTGCTGCACACAGAAGATCTATATTCTCTTGCAATACTCTGTGCTTTCTTTCTAGGAGGACCCATTTGAACAAGTTTTCTCTCATCAATAATTGCAAAATTGGCAACAACTTTAAAAGTGGTTACTTCTGTAAGAAAATAAATTCTGTTCATAAATGCAATCAATTCTTTTAACAATGCATGCGTATTTAATTGTATTGGAGATAATAAGTTGCTCATTTTTCTGTCAGAATCCAGTGAAGACAACAGAATATTTTTCCCCCAGAAGTAGTCCATTACAGCTTTAAGCTGCTTGATAAATCAATATTAATAATTGCAGAGGAATTTTTCCCAATACACAAATGCTTTCAAACATTTTATGTAAAATCAATAATTTTTTCAAAGTACTTTTAATGACATAAAATGGTATGGGAAACTCGGAGTTGGGTGCAGATATTTATGAGTTACATATGAATTAGATGCAATATGCTTTTAAATTAATCTTGGAAGAAAAAACAGAATTCTTTTGCTATTGAATTTCAAGTGTGTTGGGGAAACTTGAAATATTAATTTACAATTCTCAGAAACATACATGTACAAACATAACACTTGTGATTTTATTCGTGAAGTATATAAATCTTAACAGTTAACACCTGTACATGATTTGCACAGGTAGGTCATAAACATATTAATCTGGAAAACATTAGTCTCTTGTAAGAATCAGAAATTTAACTAGTTTCTTTGCAAAACTTGTAAAATCTTATTGTTCTTTATTAAAGTGGCCTCGGAATGGATTAATTTTGAGAAATCTTGATATCTCTTCAAATTGGTTTGGGTTAATTGTCAGTGAATAGTTTATAGTTTAAGCCATGCTTAGTTAAACTATTAAAAAGCTTGGGCATCATTAAAGGTTTCAGTGGGAATTTGAGATTTTGGCAATTTTATCTAGTAATACGTGTATCTTAATGACATCCAGAGATGTTGTAATGGCTGATCTGTGTGACTTACAAACTACTATGATAAACCTAAAAAGAGGCTGTCGTCCTTTACAGAGACCAACTCTAGCTGCCATGTTTTGGAGGTGACCCCAGGGAGGTCACCGTACATGTGCAGTAAGGCTACCAGCACCTTGTCCACCCTCCTAGACTGCCATGACACCTGTCTTCGTGGACACTGTGAGGCATTCAAGTTCCTAACCAATGGCTTCTGTGAAATTTACTTTGACAAATCCTGTATAGAAATGTTAGAGAAAGGACGAGAAAATTACTATGTCAGGAGATGTGCAAACCCAGAGGGTTAGTTTTCTGATGCTGGAAATTATAATTAAGACTTTAATGTGTGTTGTATTCTGTATATCTGTGTGAATACAAAATCACAAGGAAATGCTCTAGGATTAGCCCTTGATACTTGCATTAACCTGTGTAAAAATTATTTTTGATTTCAAGAAATGTGAAGAAAAAAAAAATAGAAGACAAAAAAAGCTTCTGCCTGAAAACAGGTTGTAATTAAGAAGGACGTAACTTTTTTTATGCAAAATTTTTCTCTGCAATAGTTAATTAGCAATGTGTATTGGATATACTTTGACAAAATCAATAATTTAAATGTATAACTCTTGTCACCATCTTAGACTGTTCTTACCACGAAGTTCAGCTGCCAGTCTCGGCCCCATGTGAAATCAGGTCTAACAGGATCAGTTCGTTTGAGGGCTGTCGGGACAGCTGTGAAGACTGTATGGCCATTAAGTATGACTACCACACTGGGGATTGTCATCTCTACCATCAGGAATCCTGTATAACACAAAAGTCCGTTAATTATATCAAGAGGGATTGTGGTGATACAAAGGGTAGGAATACATAACGAAACATCAGCAGTTTGATTTGGCAAGGAATTATTTATATCAATTGTCATAATAATAATATTCAACATCTGGACAAAATTTGATTTTGTTGAGAAAAGATGGCTGCAAAAAATATCAATAGAATGAGGACATTTGAATTGATTGTGAGAATTTATGCAGCTGTTCGTAAGACAACTTAAAAAAATTAATGACTTTTGTGTTTATATGCTTTCAGTACTCTAGCACAGATATTTAATGAATTTTTTGTGTTAGTGATCACCGTTTATGTATCTCTTTGTCAGGTGTATCTACTCAAAGAGAGCCGATATTACACAGAGTGAAAAGACCAGATGACAAAGTACACCTCAAGGCACACCTGACCGTGAATGAAAAAGATAAAACAGGTTTAATTCTGCCATCAGAAAAACCAAGTGAAAGCCAGAAAGTGCCAGAAATCAAAGTTAGTCTGGAGAAGGTCACTTCTGGACAAACCACAGAGAAGGGACATTATGACAGTGCTCTGGATCCCAAGACGCTGAAGGATAAGGTGGAGGAAGCCATGTTTTCTGAGTTGTGTACCACACAGGAGTACGTCAAGATGAAGGCGGACATCCTGAGGTACCACTGTGTCCGATTCCAGGAGAGGGACTGCTCCCCATCAGCTCTCTATGGCAGTAAGTGGCTACTGACCTAGATATCAAGTACGTAAAGATATCTCTCCTATTGCCAGGTATACCAATCTATGCTTCACATTTTTACAGGAATATACAAGAAAATTGGCCTTATATTTACTTGCTGTCCATAGATTTATATTGACATGTACTTTGTTTTCCCCTATAAAAAAACTTATAAATTTCAAGGGATCAACTTACACAAGACTCAATCACCAAAGTCTGTAAGAACTACTTTAGTTAGTTTTTGCAAAGAAAACCTAAACATTGCATCAAATCATTAATAATGTTTATGCTATCAGATTTCAAAATAAATTCAAAATTGGATAATAATCTTTCAGCATTGTGCACTCTTTTCTTTTATGGTAGTAGCTATTCAAATGGCTCTTCATTAATTGTAAATTACCAGAGGGATAAAACAGAAATTTAGATGATTATTTTTGTTAAAGATAATATTTCACAGTTTGTTTGCACACATCTTTGCCATTATGAGACTACATCTTTCAGAAATTAATAATTCAGTGCTTAAATGACAGCAGGTAGATTTATATGCTATTCAATGGAAAGGCGACATTTTAGTCATAGTGAAAGAAATTGTATCTTAGTATATATCTGTGGAAAACCAATTTGTAAGGCAATTCATTTGCAACACTAATTTCACTCCCTCAGCCCCCTCCACCCCTGAAATAAGATAAATGCCACACTTGTCAAATCACAGTAAATGATTTGTTTACAGAGAGGGATTACCTAGCCTCATTGATGTTTAGTTACTATGACAAGAACATGGACAACAGAATCATCCGAGATGAATTATGGGACATCTGGGTCACTGAACCGTTTCAACGCATGTTTGCATCATGCTCCCTCATGGATCTGTTCAGATTTGAACACATTCAGGATGATGAAATCCAAGAAGATGAATTTCTCAAGGCATTTGGTAATAACATGTTGGTGTACTTGTACATTGTTCTGTTGTGATTTGTTTGTGACAATAAAAGAAATCCATAAAAATACATGCAGAGAAAGCAATTAGTTCAGATATTAGATGGAGGGCATAAAGAGTGTTATGTAACAAATACATTAATACACGCTTATAATGAAGGGCCAGGGATGGAGAATTTTGCTTCATTATAAATGTAATTTGTCATATCTGTTAAGCTGACAATATGTTTTATATGAGGAAAAACTCTTATGCAAATAAATTGTTCTGTATTTGGCAGATTTTGAGTTAGCTGCATTCCAGGAGGAGTTTCAGGAGGTGCCAACATTAGCAACAGTTGGTAATGGATTGGAGCTGCGATGTGGAATTTCACCATCCTCAGAGAATTCCCACATCGTTTGGAACCGACACAACACAGACCTAGAGACGGTGACCTTCCCGGGAATCGCTGTAAGTTTCTCATCAATTCCACAAACACATCTTTCTAATTTTAGTTTATTGCAACATGATGTTTGCAGGAAAAAATTGAAATGTCAACACTTTAAAATAATGTGTGTTTGTGTAGAGATGAAGATGTGTGACTTATTGATTATACACTTATAATTGTTGTCTCTTACACATAGCTTAGATTTGGAAACAAAAATTGGGAATTTTTGAGTAGAATTCCTTTGAGAACTTTTGAATAAATGCATTTTGAATAAATTCTTTTTATTATGCAGCTTTATTTCTGCATCTAAAATACTCTTTTATTAAGGTGTCTAATTTTTCACCACAAATTTTGACTGCATACTCCAGTACCCTTTACCACTGAGTTCAATGTTTATCAGGTTTTCTCCGATGGAACGTTATACTTTGAGAATGTTGGCATCCATCACATAGGGAACTGGACCTGTTATGACCAGTATAGACCTGGATTCAAACAAATCCATGAGTTAGAAGTAAACAGTGAGTAAACTCATATAGGTTTCTAGACTTTATTTTAGTTAAAACTCAAATGGCAGACAAGAAATAATATTTTTCATAAAATGTACTGAAAGTAGTCATTTTTTTTAAAAAGATGGCAAATTCAATTTCTTGTATTATAAAGTCACTTCAATCAACTCTAAGACCTGTATTATTCTGCCAAGAATCTTGTATGATATATTGATTTTGTTTTGTTTTTCTGATGAAGTCAATTAGATTTACTCTAAATTCAGTGTGCTGTATAATCCTTTCCTCTTTCAGTCCCACCCATTGTAAAGGTGTCCCCCTCCTCTATGATGTTACCTGTGAGTGGAGTGGACATTCACCTTCACTGTCAGGGAGTGGGAATTCCACGCCCCACCATCCAGTGGCAGTTCAATGACAAGGTCATCCCTGTGTCTCCAGATCACTACGCCAGAATACGTATGTCTAGTTTACGTCTCCAGTGTATGTTTATTGACATGTATAGTTTAGCTATTAAAAAAAATCAATGCTACCACTTTACATGACTCCATATGATGCAATGCAGTGCATTTCTTTTTAACTATTTATTGCACATCTTGTAACATCAGAAACAGAAAATTGAACTGGAGAAACTGAAACTAGGTATTGAGATTACAACTCAAAATACCAAGGGGAATAAATCTGATATGTTGTAATTCTGATAATGAAAGAATCAAAGGAAAATAATTTCCATATTATAGATGAGAATGGCACTCTGATCATTAAAGACTCCAATTACCAGAGAGACTCCGGGGCATATAAGTGTCTGGCTACAAATGCAGCAGGCAGTAGTGAAGACATAGCCATGTTATACATTCAGAAACCAAACCAGACTGACAAATGTAAGCATTCTGGTTATTTTATGAAATTTAACTATTTATATAGCTTTTTTCGTATTCTCATAAATAAATTTATTCATTTACTATTAATTTATGACTTCCAAACTACAAAATAGCATGTCAGGATCATAACACTACTAATACGTATTTGGCATTACTTGCTAACATTTTAAAGATTATCAGTAATCTTATTTTGCTCTTCTTAACTAAAGTACTCTTGCTCTCTTTTATGAAACTTAGTGAAACAATTTTATTTCAAACACATGCATCATTGCCTCAATGTTGCTCTGTTTCAGTGTATGGGAAACAGACCACCAGACAGGAGACCTTCTTTGTCTTTCATCAGACTGGGTACAGCGCCTATAACCCGAGTGGTTGTTACACCAAACGACAGGTACACAGCAGCTTCGGACACCTGAAATACATACCTGAGGAGCTGGATGGGCCAATCTATCTGTGTGACCAGAGGAAGGATTGTGTGTGGGGTCAGGCAGTCAATGTCAGGAATAAATTTCTATATATAGCTCAGCCAAATGAGCATAGGGTGGTGGTCATAGACTCAGCTGAAACCATGAACCCCATAGAGGTCAGTATGGCTTAAAACAGCAGTTTGAGTAATTTGTCATTTGAATGATTTTCTTTCATGATTGCAATTTTTATTTTATTTGATACTCTGTTCTTCTATATATATATATATATATATATATATATATATATATATATATATATATATATATATATATATATATATAAAAGAATGCTTTGACTTTTAAGATTTCATATCAGTATATCGATAAGTAAAGAAAAATTGTGAAAGAATGGCTGCTGATTTAACATTTATTACCAATCACCTGAAGTTTCATTACTTTATTGTCAGTTTGTCAACACCGATCAGTTTCCGACAAAAATATACTATGTAGAACATTTGGACGAGGTCTGGGTTTTATGCTGGAACTCGGAGACAGACACAGGAAGTAAAACGATTGTTGTAATCAGAGATGCCAGTTCAGACATCCGTCATCGTATGGTTCACACTCAGCCAGTCGGATACAAGTTTGATCTGGTAATGACTACATGTAGAGAGAATATATTTGATATGTCAACATTATAGAACATACGTGTAATTCACTGAGGTAACCTTTTAAAGAATTTATTACAAACGTGGAAAAATTTTTGTTGATCAGTATATTATTCTTGCAAGTTGTAAAGATTGGGATGATGTTGGTTTATATTGATTAATCAATGGAATTGTAAATTTTTAATGTCATCTTGTCATATCACTGACGGCTGTGCTGACAATTAAATGAAGTGTGTATTGAAGACTTAACCATCTGTGATATGATGAATCTCAAAAATGTACAATTCATTATTTATATTTATATTCAAGGATTTCTTGGTAAATTGGAAAAATATCTATTCTTTAAATTATGCCTGTTTGAAATAAAACACACCATGTTTGCATAGCTAAATTGAAGGGAACATGAATTGTTTCAGGTTCAAGACATGTTCTTACCACCCACTAACGACCTTCATCACAACATGCAGTATGGATATGTGATTCACAGAGACCAACACAGTCTGTTTAAGTTGGAGTTGGAATCTATGAGGTACACAAGGGCTGTAGATCTGGAGGTCTTTAATTGTGTACCACAAGAGATTGCCTTCATACCCTTGGGTAAGCTTCAAGTACCAGCTGTTAGTTTTAATGTCAGATTAATAAACAAGAAACCACAAACTTTGAAGGATTTTGAAATATGATGCTGTGCTGCTCATCACTCTGAGTAAAGAACAATTCACATTTTCCAGAATTCTTAATACTGGTAGTATTCTACTTCTGCCAGTTATATATATTTACATTTGTAAATGTTTTTATTAAAAGCAACACGTATCTATATCCATATAAACATATTCTCGCGTCATAAACGTTCAACGTAATTTCTCAGTGACGTCATAAAGGGTTGACGTGCAATCAATGGATCAAATATGTGCCGTTGAGTTTGAAAAATAAAACATTTCACACGTTAAAGGTTATAATCAGGAAAATATAAAATATGAATAAGTCATAAATGTAAATATAAGTAATAATGTATCATTTTTAAACATCTATCGGGATATAAATACGGGTCGGTACGAGATCAGATTTACCATAAAGCCCTTCGGGCTTTATGGAATTTGATCTTGTGACCAACCCGTATTTATATCCCAATAGATGTTTAAAAATGATACATTATTATTTAAATATCCAGACATGACAATATCAATGTCTCAAGGAAAAAATTTCATTGTTTTTAATACCATTACATTGTCTGCAATGTACTTTAGTCTTTACTTTCTAGGCTAGGGAAAATTAACAGAATCATCCAGAAAGGAACATTGTCAGGTCATTTTGCATTTCCATTTCAGGAGGACATGTTGTTGTGGAATGTCTACAGTCTACCCCCAGCGGTTCTAAGACCCTGCAGATCTTAATTGACTACATTACTGATAAACCTGTGCTCAATATTACCCTGTCTGGGACCCCATATGTGTCTCCAGACTCCAAAAATATTGTGACGGTAGACAAAAAAACAGGGAAAGTCAACATTGCCAAGATCTCAGGGAAGGGTAAGTTTGGGGAATGATTAAAACAGTTTTCTGTATATGGAGTATGTGTTTCTACAATAAAAAAACCCAATATAGAATATCAAAAGAAAGAGGATTCCAGAATCATTAAGATAAGTTTCAGACATGTTCTTTTGAAAAGTTTTGTTATTTAAAATGGTAATAATTAATGCACATTTCTTAGAAATATAAAAGAAATTGAAAGATATTTTGTTTTTATAATGCATATTATTACCGTATATACTCGCCTATAGGTCGGTCCGCCTGTAAGTCGGTTGTATTTTTTTGCTGTTTTTATTTTGAAGGGATTGCAATCCACCCGCCTACAAGTCAGTACAACTTTTTGCCAAAATTAGTTGACAATTTCTATCCAATGCGCTGATGTTTTAACCTGGTTTCAGTTAATATTTTTAAAAAATGCTGCCAATATTTAATTTAAATCATTAAACAATTAAGTTATACACACTTTAGGTAAAAATAAAATTATTAAAATATGTAAATACGAGGGGCATTTCAAAAGTTCTGGCAACTGGTGTGTGGTAAATTAATGAGCGTCATTATCATAAATTAAATTATATCAATCCCTCAAAATAGTCTCTGTTGACCTGGACACACTTTTTAGGTCTTGAAATCCACGTGGAAAATGCTGCCCTATAGTCCTCTTTCGGTATACGCTTCATACACTGGAATACGGCACTTCCGACTGCATGACGACTTTCAAATCACCGTCCTCGGAGGGCTTCTTTGATAACGGCATTCAACCAAATATCGCATGGAGCTAGGTCAGGACTGTAGGGTGGATGTGGTAAAACGGCAATAGCATTTTCCTTTAAATATTTGGTTACTACCTCTGATCTATGGGCAGGTGAGTTGTCATGGAGGAGCTTTATTCCTCTACTACTGGTTGTTGGTCGGGTCGTTTTATAGTGCTCTACAACCTGAGACAAGACAATCTCTGCATAAAATTGACCAGTAACACTGCTGTGTTCTGGAACCGGAACTTGAGCAACAGGGCCTTTAGAATAAAAAAATAAGGCGTACATTACTCTCCGGACAGACCGGTTTCTGCGTGCAATTTGAGGCCTTGTATCATTTTCACCGATCCAAACTTTATTATTGAGCTTAGTTTCCAATTCAGAAAAATATATCCATGTTTCATCACCAGTTGCAATCTCATTTATTCACCTTTGGTCACAATCTTCATAAATTGTTAGTAACTGTGAAGCCATTTCTACCTGGATGCGCTTTTGCTCTTCCGAGAGAAGATGCGGTACCCATCTAGCACAGACTTTCCTAAGCTTTAAGTTTTCCTTTAAAATACGAAAAACTGCTGATGAATTAATGTTAGTTAAGTCTGCTATTTCCTCAACTGTATATCTAGCATCATCAGCTATCGTATTTTGAACAGCGACGATTTCTTTTTCGTCATATGCACAAACTGGATGCCCCAAACGGGGGTCATCTTCAATTGATTTTTTACCCTCTTTAAATTGAACTACCCATCTTGCTATTGCTCGATATGAAAGAGCATGCTCTCTATATACTACATCTAAATCGGCTTTTATTTCTGTTGCCGTTAAGCCAAGCAATGAGCGAATTTTGCAATATGCTCTTTGCTCAACAAAAAAATTATTCTCCTTATCAGTCATTTTTACGCCCAGTATACAGAGTATACCTAATTATGACGTCATTTTAGCAGACCTATATGTCATTTTGAATGTAAAATGACGTCACTACTAATGCATATTTGCCTAAGCTTTACAGTGGTATCAGAGTCATTTTAATCCATAACATAGTTAAAATTTTATATACCAGTTGCCAGAACTTTTGAAATGCCCCTCGTATTTGTATTTTATGTATAATCTTAGAATACCTAATATGATATATCCAGACTTTGTTAAACGATAATTGCAGAAATGTTTATTAAAAAACGACGTTCCGCCGTCCAGAAATTTGCCATTTTTTATGATTCGCCTATAAGTCGAGCATAGAGTTTTGGACCAAAATTTAACACCCAAAAAACCGACTTACAGGCGAGTATATACGGTACTACATTTTGTAAATAAGAAAAAATAACACATCATACTCCAAAAAAATTATTTTGGTGATGCAATTTCAGGTAAAATCTCCAAGATGACGGAAGTTATAGTTGGTTCAAAGGTCAGTGATGTGACCTTTTTCCCATCAAACCATGGTCATGGTTACAATGTTGTCTTGACATCACAAGAACTGCCTGAGATCTACTCCATACAACTGGACAATGGAAAGATCACCACACTTAAAGGTACTTATTTATAAAGCGCGAAGTCCCATTTCAACGTGTAGTTCAAAGGATTGCAAGTATTCAGTCACCCTTGTGACTCAATAGATGTTTACTTGGATTTCAAAAACTATGAACATACTTCCAGCAACAAATTGGAATAAGTTTGTGTATTCACCCAAGTCAACATTTTATGTTTTGTCAGTGGATTTATGTGGATTTATATGAAATGTTGTAGAAAGGTAGGCACCATACAAAGTAACACAAAAGGGAAAGGAGACATGTTCAAATACAGTGATGTGCCTCAATTTTTGTTTGTTTTTTTTTTAGAGGGGGGGGGGGGGGCAAGATTTTTATCATGCAAAGGTGAATCTAGAATGCATATTTTGTGGGTTATGCTATGTTTATTAAGTTATTCCACTTTGAAACCTTGTATGGCAATACACAATATGTTTATGCAAGAAATTTACTATTCACTCAGTTGAGCTCATGTCAGGTTTAAGATTTAATGTTTGTAACTGGGTTTTAAATGGCACCAATTGAAAAGGAATTAAAGACAGTTCTAAGTTACTTTAAATTAAATTTAGATATGTGGACTATAGTCAAACTGCTACATATTATATTTTCTAAGGAAGACTTGCCTGACTTTGCAGAAGGAGAAAAATTGGCAGAAAACCAAAACCATGAAATGGGGGAGGGGGGGGGGTGAGAGAAAACAGGAAAAAGGAACGTGTTCAAATGTTCATTTATGGAATGTTGCTGATAAAAGTACACTTTCCTTTTCAAAAATGATATTAAGAACTTTAGTTTCAGCAAGAAATGAAACGTAATGACCATTTAGTATGCTAATTACAGAATATCATTCAAGATCTGTAGATAATATTGACATTAAATATTCAGTGATGTACTTTAGTCAACAATACAGTTAAAATTTGTATTCTTTTTTATTTAGATCACCAAAAGTAAAGAATGAACTATAATAAATTATTACTGATTTTTGCTAAGAAAACTCAGGTGAGACAGCTCCCCCACTTGTGTAAAAGCAGTTGGGGAGTTGGCCCACTTTCACAAATTTCTAGATTCACACCTGTGACATTATACAAAGCTTAAAAAGAAAAAAAGTTATCTAGAAAATTTCATATGGGACAAAGCTGTTCAAATTAATAAGGGGTCACTATACAGTATATGTGTGCATTTCAATCCAAGGTAATTTATTTTGATCCTGCCTTTAAGAGGTATGCAGTAACCAAATGCCCTCTAAACTTTGTATGTATAAATAATTTTTAGGAATGAAATGTTACCAAGTATATTTTGTTTTTTGATATTACCCTTCTACAAATTTTATTTTAGGAATTGGAGAACCTCAGATGACCTTGAACTCTTTCACTCAAGTATCTCGTGCAGTGATTGGAGGGGATTATTTCAGCAAGTACTTTGCCACACCATCAAAAGACACTCTACTGATTCTGAATGGACAAAGTCTGTACACAGATTGTCAGCTGACTGGGCTTAAAAACCCCGACAAAGTGGCCTACAATGTGGCATCTTTAGCGTGAGGGACCATCTCAAAAATGTGATTACATAAGGGGTTGTCTTGATAGTTTGAAGTATCACAACTCATTTGTAAATGAAAGCACCAATCACATGTGGTATTATATCACATATCCAATTTTTTTCTCAAATAAGCAGCGTGGAATGTAATTCTCAGTAATAATTGTAATTGATGTGTGATAAAAATTTAAGTTTCAGTTTGTGATGAAATACATTTATCATAAAAATTTAGTGTGTATTACATGTATTACAATTTATATTCAAATAACAATACACTGTACTGTTGTGGAATTCTTAATAATTTGTATGTTTATCTTTGAAAACAAGTGTATTTTCAAAAATGTGAGGAATTATAAATTCATGAAGTGTGATTTTGGATGTAGAAAATGCCCACAAAATTGAACTGCTGTGTGAAAAATATAGTTAATGATTATTAGTCCCACTTACCATGATCATGTTAACGAGTATCACATATTGATTTTGTATGTGTACATATGTATGTTACTTTTGTTTAATGAATAAGAGTGTAAAATCATACAGCTTGATTATGTTTCGTAATGTTAAAGTATCTCTTATTAGAGATGTTTCAAGAAATCTTTAATTGTTAATGAGAAGAAATGGATTCTACCATTTTAGTAAGAGTCCCATGTATAGATGGTACTCCTAATGTCAGTGACAATAACTTAGGGATTACCGAGGATAGCAAGGTAGATTTACTTCCGAGTCAGTTTAAGTCAGTGACAATAACTTAGGGATTACAGTGGATAACAAAGGTAGATTTAGTTCTGTGTCAGCTTAAGTCAGTGACAATAACTTAGGGAATACAGTGGATAACAAAGTTAGATTTGCTTCCGAGTCAGAGACGATAACTTAGGGAATACAGTGGATAACAAAGGTAGATTTGCTTCAGAGTCAGCTCAAGTCAGTGACAATAACTTGAGGAATTACAGTGGATAACAAAGGTAGATTTGCTTCTGAGTCAGTTAAAGTCAGTGACAATAACGTAGGGAGTACAGTGGATAACAAAGGTAGACTTGCTTCTGAGTCAGTTTAAGTCAGTGACAATAACTTAGGGAATACAGTGGATAACAAAGGTACATGTAGATTTACTTCTAAGTCAGTGACAATAACTTAGGGATTACAGTGGATAACAAAGGTAGATTTGCTTCTGAGTCTGCTTAAGTTGGTGACAATAACCTTAGGAATTACAGTGGTTTTACTTCTGAGTCCGCTTAAGTCAGTGTGTGATTATAGAACACATATTGCAGCATAAACAGAAGCTGTTTGGTACAAAATGTTTCTGGTGTGCTGTGTTAGTTTGTGTTACATATAAGTAAGATCACAATGTAGTAAGAATGTAATCTCCCAGAGAAGATTTTGTGGCCGTGAGTTAGATATACTTGTAGATAAAATTTTAAAAATTGTAAAGTTGCTAAGTTGTTTATTTTTTATTTACTGCAAACCTGACTAAGGATGTTAGAAATTTTACTATCTTAATTAGGTTGGATATATTGTATGTATGTTTGGATTTATAGATTTCAATTTCTTCAATAGCTCCCATACCTTTTACACTTTATGAATGATGTGAATACTATGTCTCAGAATTTCAATGTGGAAGAAAAAAAAACAAGACACAGGCTACAGATAGAATTTTGAGTTATTATTTTATAGTAAGCTTAGTTATACATATATTTGCATATATCTTTGATTCTGCAGTTTGTATACTGTATCTAATATGTATGTACTTATGTTGTTTTTTATTTTAATTATATATTAATTTACAATCAATTTACTATGTCAGAATTAATTTTACGCAATTTGCTTATTTTTTACTTTTACTTTTTTAAAAGTATTTAGAAGATTATTTGTCCCTTGCAGATTGTGATTTTACATTTTATTAACTTTTTATTAACATTTTGTATTATTTTTGTAAAATGTTTTGAAACCAGCAAAAAGAATTTTTCAAAAATCTTTTTTGTTGAACAATATTTGTTTTACAGTATATACATATAGATTTATATAGAGTAGATGCTTTGTGTATATTTTTGAAACATCTTAAAGGTTAAAAATCTCTATTACCAGATAAAATCACCATCCTGGAAAATTGAAATTAGAATCAATGTCCAGAACTACTAACAATTATGTATGTATATCATATAGGTCAACAGAAACAATTTTATTTATATCGTGCAAGAATCACAGAGAGCTTGACCAATATAGTGCAAGAATCACAGAGAGTTTGACCTATATAGTACAAGAATCACACAGAGTTTGACCTATATAGTGTAAGAATCACAGAGAGCTTGACCTATATAGTGTAAGAATTATCGCTGTGTCATGTTGACAATGTTCCAAATGACAGTGTTCTCTGTTTTTGATTATATTCAGATATTAATTTGTTGTTGTTCCAATTCCAGTTCTGCTTTGTAAGTGCTGAGTGATTTCTTTGTTAATCATATACATTCCTTACAAATGTTTGTTTTTGCTAAATGCCTTTTACTGGAGAATAAATTTTTGTGATTCTAAACAATATCTTGAGATTTATTTGTTGACAGTTATCATTGATACTCACACATCAAATGCTTATCATACAGAAAATGGTTTTGAACCGTAAGGTTCTTTGACTCTGTAGTAAGAGAAGTAACTCTTACTGGAATAAATGACCTTTATTCCTTTATTAAATTGTTAAGTAAAAAGACCATTTCTGTCAAGTTTTGCAATCCAAGGTATGCTGAAAATGTATGAATTTTAATTTTTAATTAGCTTTCTTTTGAGAAATTCATTAGAATTAAAGCAAAAATTATGAGTGAACAGAGCAAAGATGAGCCTTAAGGAATATTCATTATGGTCACATTGTAACAGCGAATGACTGGTAGGCAACTTTTATGTGAATAGTTGGCCTTGTTGAATCTAAGTTTAAGACTGAATTTGCTAGTGTAGCTCCCTTCAACAGTCATTTAGATTGATTGATTGTGTTGTTTAACGCCCCATTCAAGAATTTTTCACTCATATAGAGACGCAAAAAAAAATTAAATAAAAAATTCTGTCGCCTGCGTGGCGCAGTGGTTAGAGCGTCTGCTCTAGAGTCGCGGAGTAAGGAGTTGATCCTAACATCGCGGGTTCGAATCCCAATGTGGGACGTGGAGACCGGTCCTTCGGATGAGACCGTATAAACCGAGGTCCAGTGTCGCAGTAGGTGCTGGCACGAAAAAGATCCCTCACTGCTCAATGGTCGTAAGTGCCGAGTATAGGACAAAATTTGCAGCTCTCTACCGGCAAGTGGTGGCGTCTCCATATGAGTGAAAAATTCTCGAGAGGGACGTTAAACAACATAAAAACAAACATATAGAGACGTCACCATATACCGAAGGGCTTCAAATTTAGACCTTTACTCGGCACTTAAGGCCATTCTTTATCGTGCCAACGCCTGTCGTGACACGGGGCCTCGGTTCTTAAGGTCTCATACAAAGGACCCGCAACTTTCATTTCAAAGTGCCCAATCATTTAGATGTGGCTCCATTCAACAACCATTTAGATGTGTAGGTCAGGGGTCTCTACGGGAAGACGATAAAATGGTAACAAGAGTACTGCTTTGATGTAGAGAATTCCATAATTATAAGGAGCAAGGTAGGCAATGGATCCTTTTTTTCTGTCTTCCCAATTTTTTGTGGAAAACTCGGAACAGATATTAAGTCAGTCAAATAAATCCAGATCTAATTTCAGATTTCAAGTAATGCAAATTTCATTAATTCATAGTTTTGAAAACAATCTGCAAATTAGCTTATCTGCCTTATGCACAATTGTCCAGTGCATCTTATATATGAAAACCATAGATTAGGCCATCTTTAAAAAATTGTTTGGTTGCCCTCCTCCGACCGACTGGCTAAAAATGGCCCGACTCAAAACTTTTTTCAACCTCCAGGAATAAGAAATTTTTTTCTTTTTATTCCTGAATTTTCCCATTCCGTCAACATATATGTTGATTTTTTTTTAGAACAAAAAAAGATTTTCCCACCTACCTACCGACTCAATTTTTTTACCCTCACTCGGGAGAGGGCAAGCAAACATTATTTCAAAGATAGCCTTGGCTTGCCTAGAGAAATGTCCTTTGTTCGACAAGTACTTGTAAGTGACAAATTTAAAAATCTTTATCATGAGGAAATTTTCATTAATATTCAATATTTCAGTTGAGGACACACGCTACAAACAATAAATTGGATGGATGTATTTTTATACCCTACTCAATGAGTTGACAAGGGTATACATATATCAAATCTCTGAAATCTCTTATCTTCTATTAAGAAATTGTAAACGTCCTATGATGTTCCTTTTTACAATTACCCTTATAAATCTACACATTTTTCATTACCAGTACTTTATAGGACATTATCGAGAAACTTTGAATGAAAAATGAAACTTATATTGAAATATTTAGTTGTTATTTTCAAGAGTTCTCCTTCTAAGGATGAAATTCTTCAAAATGACATTTCAGTTTTAAATACTTTTAACATTCCAGTCAACCAAGGTAAGTTTGATCTACCCTACCTATACTGGATTCATAGTCATCAATAACATCAAAATGTACGACTTTTCTACACTTTATACAACCATTCCTCACGATAAATTAAAATCTAGGCTTTTCGATATCATAGGCAACTGCTTCTTCAATAAAAATGGAACTCGGAAATTTTCATATCTTATGACTGGTCATCAAAAAAATTACTTCGTTAAAAATCACTCTGATTCTACACACAAGTGCTCTGAACTTGATATTTAAAGGATGCTGGAGTTCTTCATTGACAACATCTACTGTGGTTTCATTAATATTCGTGGGCATCAATTTAGTAAAAATCACTGTTTCTAGGATACGTAAATTCGTGGATAATGATCATACAAAAATTTGTCACCTTTTCCTTTTTTCACTCTCCGTATGCTTCAGCGGGAATCCTCACGCCATTTACAATATTAAGAGTACAGTAATATTATAAAACATGCAATTACTAACAGGTGAAAACTCTTTAATTTATTCTTTATATTGATTTTACTCATCTGTATTTTTAAAACCTTCAAGCGTTTAATTTACAACGCAGTATACATGGTACATGTATAACAATAAAGGGTGAGGAATTCCAAATACCGTCTCCATTGTAAGACTATGATCTCGATTGGCAAATTGAATATCGGATACTGAAACAGATTATTAAAAGCAATTAATTAAAATAGACTTTAAAATTTAAATTGTCTTAATATTTTAAGATACTTGCACACCTTTTAACCGAAACGTTGATTAAATTAAAGTCTATTTTAATTAATTGTTTTTAATAATCTGTTTCAATATCCGATATTTAATTTGCCAATCCACAGTACCACAGTACAATTTTTATTTTAAACAGTATGTAGTCTTCGTAGACCAGATCTTCGAACAAACTTTTGGAATTTCGAAGGGCACTAATTATGCTCCTTTATTAGCCGACCTTTTTATATTCTTATGAAGCAGAATTTATTCAGAAACTTCTGCATAAGAAAAAGAAAACTCTTGCTGTGGCCTTCAACTTGACATTCAGATATTATAGCAATAGACCCGTACGAAACAGTCCGGGCGGCTTAGACACGGCTCAGGCACGGATTCCGTTTCCAGAAACCCGTGCTTACAGCATTCCTGCTCCTATGTAAAATATGTATGAGAAGCCCTGCCTATTGGCCGAATTATTTAAATGAGATCACACGGTTTTACAAAATCAGTGTCAGAAAGCCGTGCTAGTTTCCATATATGGATTCACAGATTCTATATACCCGTGTCAGAAACCCGTGTCATTTTCCATATATGGAGACACGGATTTTTGGAAACACGTGTCAAAAAAGCCGTGTGACATACCATATATGGTGTCACGGGATCTGTGTATCTGTCTAGATCTAGGTCAGGGCCTTCAGAGAGTCTTCTGATGTAGCTGTGGATGCCAAAATGGTGACTGAAACCAAACTTCACAATGCTTAACCTTTACATCTTTATAATGCTTAGTTTAAGAATTTTAAAAGTTAAAAATCCTATATGAGAGTGTCCATTTACTTTCTGTTAAAGATTTACATTATCATTTACAATTCATTATAGTTTTTAATTAAGAATTTAATGATAAGGTAACAATTCAATTGTAATTTTATCTAAGTTTGAACAAACTAGATCTGAGAAAGATTTTATAAATCTAAATAAAACTTTCTATAGCACAGTGATGTAGGGATTACTTGGTGAAAGTCCAACTAAAGTCATTCGAATAAATTAAGAATATTTCATCCTGTTCGTTGTCATCATTGCAATACAGAACAATCATGAAAATTGAAAATGACTTACATGTATTTATTCTATATTAGACTTACTGCATTTAGTTCAAAAGTGATGAATTCATCCCAGACTGACATAAATACAATTCCAAATGACATGTATTAGTTAATTATTCTTAAACTAGACTAAAAAAAAGACACATTCCGTTCTTAGCTCATTACCATGAATCCCTCCAATTCAATATTCAAATAAAGGAAGTTATGATTGAGCATGCTCAGTAAAAAGCCGTGAGATATAAATAAATAGTTTGAAGCAAAACCCGCTTGCATTAAAAACCGTCTCCCTGGGACACGGATTCCGTGCCTCCACACGGGTTTCACTTTCAGACTCAGAATCCATGTCCGTGTCTTGGACAT